CGTCAAATTAGGAAACATCACTTTTTCGCCTACGTATATATTCGTATAGTTATGAATTATTGCGAAGTGGTCAAAATTTGTAGTGGATGAGAATATCTTGAAAAAGGCGATTATTCTCAATGGCGAAGAATTGCGTTGCTGTACCGTACTAAATATATTATGGTACAGTTGTCCTTGATGAATCAGTTGCATATTCTCTTCTGCAACGTGCCTCAGCCAACAAGCACTCAAGTGTCTATAAAAGCGGCGTTAAAGTTCAACAATAAAATCGCCATTTCCCACGTAATCATCGCATACATTACGAAAACACGGAATTCCTGTCTGCAACTACACAGTAACTAAGTGGTCTGACCAAAATAATATTCAGCACCTTGCCGTTCTGTATTATATAGTATCGTAATCCTCATCAACAGGCTCAGCATTTTTGAACATAAAACACCTTTAATTTGAATTTCAGGTTTGCAAAGTTATTTCTTGAAGAAAGATAAGGAAATATCTCGTACTTATTTTAAATAGGAATTTAGTACATAGTTTACGATTGATTTGACCAAACTTTGTTGCTCAAATAACGTGTCACGCTTTATTACAAAAATTAACTATGGCATATTCCACAGCAGAAAGAGTTGACATTATCGAAATATTTGTCGGAAATAATCAGTGCGCTAATAGAACAGAAGAACTTATTTAAGACATGAGAACAGTAACGTGCATCGAAAATATGTTCTAGAACTTGTAGCTAAATTTCGGGAAACTGGGTCAGTCGCCAATAAAAAATGCAACATTGAAAATCCCATAAGGAACGAAGCAAGTTTATGTAGATCCTACGTTAAGTACCCGCAATTTGGAGAATGTGTGTGGTGTTAGTCGACGTACTGTCCGACGGATTCTAAAGGCTCATAGTTTTCATCCGTATAAAAATCACCTGGTACAAGAACATAATGAAGACGATTTTGATCGGCGATTACAATTTTGTGAAGATATGAGTGAACGAATTATAAACGATTAACATTTTCTATTCAACACTTGCTTTTCCGACGAATGTTCCTTTCTCTTAAATGGCGTAGTAAATCGTCATAACTGCCGATATTGGTCCGATTCTAATCCCAGAATTTATCATGAGGTTCATACACAGCAGCCACAAAAATTAAATGTTTGGGTTTCCAGATCGATGGATTGGTAGAAGAGGTGCCATTGGATGGCCCCCAAGATTGCCAGATTTATCACTTTTGGATTTCTTTATGCGGCCAACATCATTAGAAGACGTTTTGAGCAAAATCTTTATGTTTGCACGGAGAGTCATGGTGGCCATTTTCAACATTTGCTTGCTTAACGGGTCAGTTCATTCTTCATTTTTTAAATTACTTTGCTGCCAAATGTATTGATCTCCACTAATCATGATGTATCAGTTTTATTTAAGCTTTAAATCAATAAATCTTTAAAACTACTGAACTGAAGTACATTAATTTTATATCATTATAAAGGGAATTGAAAGACCTTTAAAAGATTTTGGGGGTGGTGTCACCCCCGCTTAGGGGGCTGCACATGCTAACGTGATTTTTTTGCCAAAATTGTGTCCCCCTCGAAAACAAAATCGACGGGTCTGAGCGTTTTTCAAAAAAAAAACTGAGCTGCGAGTAAATGCGTTTCGTTTTCGATGCGCCACCCTGTATATTATAATATGACTCTTCAATATCAGAAGCGCAATGTTTGCATTCAAAAAATATTAGATCACCTATTACACATTTGAAATGAGCCCATAACATACAAGTTATGCAGTGAATCCATTGTTCGGCTGGAACACTATCGACTAAGGATTCAGTGCATTCTAAACAAATCGTACTCTCGTCATCTTCCGTGGTGTCGGTATATACTCGTATAGTACTTTTACGTTTCCGAATATTTCTTCTATTATCTAAAAGTGGCGCCGCTTTTGGAAAGGGTCTTAGCTTTTCCGATGTTGCTGATGAAGTTGAGGAAAGGTTTAGATTGTGTAAAGATGGGGGTACATTTGCTTCTGTAGAATGAACGTTTTCTGGTGTTTTGAGGTTTTCCCTCACTTCCGGTTCAAATACAGAATTGAATGTTTCGTCACAAAGAGAAAGTATCTCACATTCAGTCCTCAAAGATCTTGTAGGCGAGGGTGTTGTAGTAGTAATCTGGTCTGTATTTACAGATAAACATTGCGGTGCCAGAGAGTGAGTTTCAGTTAATGTATGGTGATCAGGAACCTCTTCGACGATAAACAACCTGTTCGATGCATCGGAAGTCGATGGAACAGACACTGTGCTGACATCACATGCTGAAGGATTAACACCACCAGGGAAAGTGAGCATCTGCCTAACTGTCACATAAGAACCACTAATTTCGGAGTCAGGAAAAATGTTTTCATTCAATGGTGAAATCCCGGATACTCCGAATCCTTACTGAATATTTTCAATTGTAGCAGCCAATGGTAGTGACGTTTTAACCAGCTGCAGTATTTCATAAATTGTGATAGTCTTTCGCGGGTAACTAGCCAGCCAGTTGTCACATGCTCGTTTGAAATACTTTTTCAATGGTCCGTACACAGATCTGCCAAGAGGTTGTAGCTTGTGGCTACAATGTAGAGGGCATGATAAAACTGTCACCCCATTAGTTTTAAAGTAACCCAACGCTTCAATTGATAAGTGAGAGTCATGGTTATCCAACAACAAAAGTACAGGTTTTTCTTTACTAGGTTTAACATGTTTCACGATATGTTTGGCGTACTTCATAAAGTTCTTTCCTTTCATCCAGCCAGATGGATTAGCATCACCTTCACATCCCATAGGCTATATTTAACAAAATGGGACTATAATGGACGCGTGGGAATACGAAAAATGGTGTACTCCTCTCAGCAGATGTCATCTTGCCTAGATTTTCAACACCACGTCGTGCTATTACTCTATTAGGTACTTGCACGGTTGTCAAACCTGTTTCATCAACGTTGCAGATATCAACAGGGCTTAAATTCAAACGTGGCAAACAGTAGTTAAACACGTTAGCTGCCGCCAATGTATTTTCCATTCAATTCTCAGGGGGCCACGTGATCCGCGCTTGACCCACGGCCTATGATTACTGCAAGGCCGCGTGGTCTGCCGATGACCCACGTTTTCATGGATACTTAATGCACTATAACTTTTTCTGCCCTGTCAGGAATTCAAATATATTTAAATATACGGCTTCCTCGAAAAATGTATTTCAATTTAAAAAAAAAAAACAATTCGATAGGTAAATTTTTAAGGATTTTATGGATGTTTTATTTAGCTACGAATTCCCTGTATAGTAACATTCAATAAAGAAAAAGAATGTCTTGAGAACATCTTATTTATCAGGTGAAACGAAATATAAACGATTTTCAACATGCAGTTACATAATGTTTTTCATTATAACATTTTAGACAAATGTTTGGTTTACTTTCATAAGTAACACAAATCGTTGTCACTTTTTTCGCCTGATCCCTAGCTTCCTTATAATTTTTGCCTTGTTTTCTAAATTCTTCATAATAATGCATGCATCGCCTTCGCACTTTTCTGCCACGATCATCTTTTTCCGTAGTCTGTTCTAGTTGATGTTTTCGCTTATTGGAATTTCCTGGTAAAGTATCAGTCTGTGTGTTACTGATTTCAGGCAAAGATTTACATAAATGTTCTCTAAAATTTACTATTGACATTGTGGTGTTGCGAGAAATTATTTTAAATACTCTAAAAGCATTAACCACTGACGTTCCTAAAGGTAATTCCGTGGCAACTTTATGATACCACCTAAGTGATTTCCTAACTGGGGTGGCATAACTGGAAAGGTGATCTGATAAATCGATTCCGCTCTTACCGTTATTGTAATGAACTATAAACTTAGGCTTAGCTATACTTTCTTTTTTTCTATTTTGTTTGCCGGTAGAAACTGTATCCAAATTATTATAAGTACGTTAGATATTCCATACACATCTCTTTGATCTTTCCATTTGATTACTACAAACATCATTACTTTCCTTTCTGACAATTTCGCCTTTCCTCAACTTCGCTGTTATTACTTCCTTCGGTTAACCTTTTCTGTTCTTACGAATGGTACCAATATGATCAGTTCTTCTTGCTACTAATTCTTCAGCTAATTCTATGCTAGAATAAAAGTTATCTGTAACTACAGTGCGGCCGAGTCTAAATAATTTTCACAGAGGCGAAGTACTACTGCTTTGGATACATTTTTTCCACTAGAAGACTTTCCTTCATAAATTTCGATTTTATATGTATAGGCATCCCTACTACAGATCTTAAAAAGTTTTGCACCGTATTTATGGCGTTTTCCGGGGAGGTATTGCTTAAAAGCTAATCGCCCTCTAAAAGGAATCATTGTTTCGTCGACTGCTATATAAAGATCTGGTTCCTTCATTTGCTGGAATCTTAAATTCAACTTGTTCAAAAGACCTCTTATTTTGAACAGTCTATCTGCATCTTTATTTTGTGAATCATCTGCAAAATGCCAAAATATCAAAGGGAGCTCAAAACGGTTGCGACTCATAATACAGTTGCTACATCGGTTTTGTAAATTGTTGTTTTGCTCCAGTAATCTGATATACACGGTAGTCTAATCAAAGCCATCCAGAGCAGTAATCCAAGAAATTTTTTCATTTCGTTGTCCGCATTTGACCATTTTGCCATACGGCTATGTCGACCAATGCGAGAATTGCTCAGAAAATGGTTAGCATTCCGATTAGTTTCAATGACCATTAAGTCAATTATAGAATCATCGATAAACAGCATGAAGCATTCCAACGGAGTATATAAATTCACTGCTTTCGGCGGTACTTTAAGTCCAGGATTTCCAGAAAAATTAAAACGTTTATCCCCGTTTCCTAAAACTGCTTTCCAACTCGATTGCTGCTTCTGTATTGACGGTTGACCGTTGCTTGCAATTTCATCACTTTCTGATTCACTCCTGGATGGACTGCTAAACGTTTCATCGCTATCAGAACAACCGATATCCTATACTTCATCTTCTGAATATTCAGCAGATGTTCCTGGCACATCCATGATCCTAGATAACAACGTCAGCTCTAGTAAAATAGTCTTGTTTAATAAAAAATGTTCTTACCTTTGTAGATAACCTTAAATCAGTGTAAATATTTAGAGCTCGCCACGTGGTCAACTTAAAACGTATTCTTTGCACGCCACGTGGTACGCCGATAACCCACGACACGTTTTCTAAAGAACGGCCTGGAGGTAAATGCATTGGAATTAGTAAGTGGCTTGGAAAGTTAAAACAAGCGTGGGTCAACAGCGACCACGTGGCGGTTAAGGTGTTAAATTAGCGAAGAACATACTGACGTTTTGTTTGTTGAATGATGTAGCTCTTAAAAGGCTTGTTGCTTGAGGTGTCCTTATGGATAAAGAAGGATGACGTTTGAGAAACGAGCCTAACCAATCTTCGCCGGCTAACAATTTTGTTCTCCAAGAATCAGGCATAGCTTTGTTACGTTTTATGGCGAACTGACATGCTAATTTTCGGGTCTCATCTGGTATCAATCCATAATAAATATCATCGGCTTTCTTTAAATAACTTGCTAAAACTTCTTCTTCTTCATCAGTGAAAACTTGCCTATTTTTAATATATCCCACTGAGTCCAAAGTTAATTCTGCTCTCGTCAAGTTCGGATTACGTTCCAATTTCTCCTTTAGTGTCGCCACATAACGACGTAATGTCTTATAGGCAATTTTATATTGTTTTGAAGTTGCATTAATACTTTTTGTGTCAAAACTTATTAGATGACAAGCTCTTTCTAGGACATCGTTTGGTGTATCAGCTCGTTCAGTCTTTCTTTCATAGGTCCTCATTGTGCTGTAACGAAATGAGTATTAAAACACGAATAAAAGGTTAATTTACGAGATAGTTTAAACCTCAAATTATATTGGGGTTGGTTGACTAACTATTAAACCAGCCCCAAAAGAAGTTGGTCTACCACCCCCAGACGCCGTTTTAAGTTTCAATGGCATGGGAAAACATTATCAATATGCACTCACGAAACACTCTGACTAATAGGCAAATGGTTAACATAAAATGTGTGTCAGATGGAAAAATATGCAATATGAAAATATTACTTTCATGATACAAAAACAAATCAGGTGTCACTGCTCGAAAACGGCGTGCATCCGCGACGTGGCGCTCCGGACGACTGAGCGGGGGTCGGAGAGTAATGCGCGGCTGGGCCGGGGTGACGTAATACTCATATCGTCGACGAGTTTTTGGCGGTTATGCCAGCCATACACCATCCTTCCTATCGTCCGATCGGCAGGACGCTGCCGATTGGATCAGTTTGAACTGATCGTGTGTAGGCGTGGACTGGCATGACAGTTAAATTTGATGGCATAATCACATTTCAATTCTTTTGAGATGATGATGCTGATTGGATCATGCCGATTTGAGCGTGTATGGCGGTCGTTAGTCTACCTACCCCTATAGTCAACCACCCCTAGTCTCCCCTACTAGACTAGGGATTTTTGGGTCGTTGATTTCAAATCTGAAGTTTGTTTGCGTCTATGAAGGCATTTAAAGGCCACTTCTAGATCATATTAAGAACGTTTTCAAAAAAGCATAGCAGTTGAGCTCAACCGTGTCATTTAAGTTTTTCTGGTTAGTAAGTCCGTATCAGATTTAAGCTAGTCACTGGGCATTTGCATGTCATTTAAGAGGAACTTCAACTGTTACCAGCATGGAATAGTGTATTTAAGTAATGCAATGAATTTCCTATCACGTTTTGTACCTTAGATGACATTAGCAAACCACCAGACATTTTACCGGTGTGAAGTTGGCAGACAAAATTTAGCGGACAATTTGCCGAAGATACCCGAATGACCAGTGGCGTCGACATCCTCGATCAGACTGTGATTGTGAAGGATACAGCTAACAGCTCGCAACAATAAATATATATATATATGCACGAGAATAAGCACCCCTATAGGAAGAATCATTTTCCACCCTAATTAAATAATTGGTAGGAACAAGAGTTAACCCACAACCTTTCTTCGAGTTTTCACTTACCGATTACTGTATTGAAAGTAATTAATGAGCTAAATAGCATATACTGAGAAAATCTCTAAAGGGGTGCTAGATGAAAAAATATAAATAAAACTTCATTTTCACCCCCAAAAAAATGATTCCACAAAATGATTTATATCTCAAAAAAATACTCTATAACAGAGACAATTCATGGGCTAGGTGGCATGGTGTGAGAAAGCTTCTGAAAGGCTGGCAAATAAAAAAATATGCTAAAAAATTCATTTTCACCCCCAAGGAAATGATTCCCCAAAATCAGTTGTACCTCAAAGAAATAGTCTATTATAGAGACAATTTATAGGCTAGGTGGCATGGTGTGAGAAAGCTTCTGAAACGCTTGCAGATAAAAAAATATGCTAAAAATTCATTTTCACCCCCAAGGAAATGATTCCCCAAAATCAGTTGTACCTCAAAGAAATACTCTATTATAGAGACAATTTATAGGCTAGGTGGCATGGTGTGAGAAAGCTTCTGAAAGGCTGGCAGATAAAAAAATATGCTAAAAAATTCATTTTCACCGCCAAGGAAATGATTCCCCAAAATCAGTTGTACCTCAAAAAAATACCCTATTATAGAGACAATTTATAGGCTAGGTGGCATGGTGTGAGAAAGCTTCTGAAACGCTGGCAGATAAAAAAATATGCTAAAAAATTCATTTTGACCCCCAAGGAAATGAATCCCCAAAATCAGTTGTACCTCAAAGAAATACTCTATTATAGAGACAATTTATAGGCTAGGTGACATGGTGTGAGAAAGCTTCTGAAAGGCTGGCAGATAAAAAAATATGCAAAAAAATTCATTTTCACCCCCAAGGAAATGATTCCCCAAAATCAGTTGTACCTCAAAAAAATACTCTATTACAGAGACTACTCATAGGCTGGATGACATGGTGTGAGAAAGCTTCTGAAAGGCTAGCAGATAAAAAAATATGCTAAAAAATTAATTTTCACCCCCAAGGAAATGAATCCCCAAAATCAGTTGTACCTCAAAGAAATACTCTATTATAGAGACAATTTATAGGCTAGGTGACATGGTGTGAGAAAGCTTCTGAAAGGCTGGCAGATAAAAAAATATGCTAAAAAATTCATTTTCACCCCCAAGGAAATGAATCCCCAAAATCAGTTGTACCTCAAAGAAATACTCTATTATAGAGACAATTTATAGGCTAGGTGGCATGGTGTGAGAAAGCTTCTGAAACGCTGGCAGATAAAAAAAATATGCTAAAAAATTCATTTTCACCCCCAAGGAAATGAATCCCCAAAATCAGTTGTACCTCAAAGAAATACTCTATTATAGAGACAATTTATAGGCTAGGTGACATGGTGTGAGAAAGCTTCTGAAAGGCTGGCAGATAAAAAAATATGCTAAAAAATTCATTTTCACCCCCAAGGAAATGATTCCCCAAAATCAGTTGTACCTCAAAAGAATACCCTATTATAGAGACAATTTATAGGCTAGGTGACATGGTGTGAGAAAGCTTCTGAAAGGCTGGCAGATAAAAAAATATGCAAAAAAATTCATTTTCACCCCCAAGGAAATGATTCCCCAAAATCAGTTGTACCTCAAAAAAATACTCTATTACAGAGACTACTTATAGGCTGGATGACATGGTGTGAGAAAGCTTCTGAAAGGCTGGCAGATAAAAAAATATGCTAAAAAATTCATTTTCACCCCCAAGGAAATGAATCCCCAAAATCAGTTGTACCTCAAAGAAATACTCTATTATAGAGACAATTTATAGGCTAGGTGGCATGGTGTGAGAAAGCTTCTGAAACGCTGGCAGATAAAAAAATATGCTAAAAAATTCATTTTCACCCCCAAGGAAATGAATCCCCAAAATCAGTTGTACCTCAAAGAAATACTCTATTATAGAGACAATTTATAGGCTAGGTGCCATGGTGTGAGAAAGCTTCTGAAAGGCTGGCAGATAAAAAAATATGCTAAAAAATTCATTTTCACCCCCAAGGAAATGAATCCCCAAAATCAGTTGTACCTCAAAGAAATACTCTATTATAGAGACAATTTATAGGCTAGGTGGCATGGTGTGAGAAAGCTTCTGAAACGCTGGCAGATAAAAAAATATGCTAAAAAATTCATTTTCACCCCCAAGGAAATGAATCCCCAAAATCAGTTGTACCTCAAAGAAATACTCTATTATAGAGACAATTTATAGGCTAGGTGACATGGTGTGAGAAAGCTTCTGAAAGGCTGGCAGATAAAAAAATATGCTAAAAAATTCATTTTCACCCCCAAGGAAATGATTCCCCAAAATCAGTTGTACCTCAAAAGAATACCCTATTATAGAGACAATTTATAGGCTAGGTGACATGGTGTGAGAAAGCTTCTGAAAGGCTGGCAGATAAAAAAATATGCAAAAAAATTAATTTTCACCCGCAAGGAAATGATTCCCCAAAATCAGTTGTACCTCAAAAAAATACTCTATTACAGAGACTACTTATAGGCTGGATGACATGGTGTGAGAAAGCTTCTGAAACGCTGGCAGATAAAAAAATATGCTAAAAAATTCATTTTCACCCCCAAGGAAATGAATCCCCAAAATCAGTTGTACCTCAAAGAAATACTCTATTATAGAGACAATTTATAGGCTAGGTGGCATGGTGTGAGAAAGCTTCTGAAACGCTGGCAGATAAAAAAATATGCTAAAAAATTCATTTTCACCCCCAAGGAAATGAATCCCCAAAATCAGTTGTACCTCAAAGAAATACTCTATTATAGAGACAATTTATAGGCTAGGTGACATGGTGTGAGAAAGCTTCTGAAAGGCTGGCAGATAAAAAAATATGCTAAAAAATTCATTTTCACCCCCAAGGAAATGATTCCCCAAAATCAGTTGTACCTCAAAAGAATACCCTATTATAGAGACAATTTATAGGCTAGGTGACATGGTGTGAGAAAGCTTCTGAAAGGCTGGCAGATAAAAAAATATGCAAAAAAATTAATTTTCACCCGCAAGGAAATGATTCCCCAAAATCAGTTGTACCTCAAAAAAATACTCTATTACAGAGACTACTTATAGGCTGGATGACATGGTGAGAGAAAGCTTCTGAAACGCTGGCAGATAAAAAAATATGCTAAAAATTCATTTTCACCCCCAAGGAAATGAATCCCCAAAATCAGTTGTACCTCAAAAAAATACTCTATTATAGAGACAATTTATAGGCTAGGTGACATGGTGTGAGAAAGCTTCTGAAAGGCTGGCAGATAAAAAAATATGCTAAAAAATTCATTTTCACCCCCAAGGAAATGAATCCCCAAAATCAGTTGTACCTCAAAGAAATACTCTATTATAGAGACAATTTATAGGCTAGGTGACATGGTGTGAGAAAGCTTCTGAAAGGCTGGCAGATAAAAAAATATGCTAAAAAATTCATTTTCACCCCCAAGGAAATGATTCCCCAAAATCAGTTGTACCTCAAAAAAATACTCTATTACAGAGACTATTTATAAGCTAGACGACAAGGAGAGATAGCAGATAAGAAAAATAAGTTAGAATTCATGTTCACCTCCAAGGAAATAATTCCCTAGAATGCGACATAGCCCAAAATTTCTGAAATTAGTGGACCAGATCACGCTATATGGTATCTACTAAAGAAAGGGCAGGCAAATGTATATATTAATGGAAACTTATTATATCTAAGTGAAGCATTTAGTTAGTTGGCTCTGCAGAGGTCACATATTTTATTACGCATTTTCTCGTTTACGTCTATATTTTTCTCCAATTCTGCTGCTGTAAGGAGACACTTCAAATGTATGTTTCTTCTACA